ATTATGAGATAAAATACGAAGTGAAATGCTTTTGAGATTTATGATTTTGTTGAATTGCAGCAAATTGTGCACTTCAATTAATTTCACACAATTTCTGGTATAAAGTTAAGTTGAAAAAATAAATCTTTTTTTTTTGTAGTTGATATTTTATTTGATATGATGGAAGTTTTTTTATTCATTATTATCAATGGAAAATCTATTGTGCAGAACATTGAAACAAGTTTATTATGATGGCATGGATAGTTCATAAATAAATTTGATTAAAAAATTCTAACTCTTTGTTATCAATAAATAATATTATTTTAATTAAGGCAATGAAATTAATTACAATAAAAATTATTTATTCATTGATTAATTAAAATTGGATTATTTATGCAACAAATTTACACATCCAACTCAGTTTTAATGCACAATCAATTTGTAGAAAACTAATTTTTCGTTTGCTTGCTTAATAAATAATGCAGCGTAAAGTTTCCGCTTCACCATTTCAGTGCCAAATGTAAATGGAGCTAAGCTTAGGAACAGCTGCATTCAGAATTTATTCAAATTTCTCGTAAATACGTAAAATCAATTTCATTGCAGCTATTCAATATGTGTTAATACCAACAAATTTATCACATCTGGCGATTTTGATAGATGGGGAAATAATGCAAACTATAAACCGATTATATTGTCCAAAATTATTTTTTTATTCGACTGCATGCATTACTAGGCATCCATCATCTTAAGAATTACTCCAAGTGCAAGTGTGTAAGCAGCTGCGGCAGTAACAAAAGTTTACAGATCGAATTGAATTTATTCGTAATGACTGAGCAGCCAAACTTGGGTTGCAATTCAAATTATATTGTAAAACATAATTCAGACATTGAATCCTTATTGGAGTGAATAAAAAACTCTCTGAAATTTACTTGAATAAATCATAACCACCCAAATATCGAATATTTTGTTCGTAAGTGGCAGCAAATTTTGTGCTCACATTACTAAATCCCAAAAAGGATTTCAAATGAATTATGTATGAATCATAATTCAATTAGATTTGTTGCATTTAAAAGTAAGAAATTTAATTAGATTTTCTCATATGTATTACACATATATAATAATGGAATGTGCAACTGTGCACATATAAATCAAAAATTTACTTGAATTTACCTTTCATTAAGATTTGTTTTATAATTAAACCCATAAGTATAAGTATTTGCTTAAATATTACTCAATTCACTTACTAAATTGATTAATAAATTTAAATCATATTTTTATTTACCGCTAATTACAAGTACATCAATCATGTGGGCTCAATTACACGGACAACAGTGCGTATGTGTAACATCGTATTTCATAAATACAACTTTGTGCATACATAACGAGTAACGAAACAATCACTTATGATATGCGGATACACGGATATGCGGATATGCCATTAAGCCACTGAAGCGTTTTATGTAATTAAGCAGAACTTTGAACGCAGCTACTTATGTAAATAATAATTTATATATTTATAATTATGAAAAAGGCTACTCTACCTATATTGTATAATTAATACTAATAACGGCATCCTTGTATGGAATTGGTGTTGAGTATATAACATTATGTACTTTGTTCATTAATTAGCGAAGTCATTTGCTGCATACTTAATCTGTTGAAAGCATCACATTTCATGGCTTTTTAACTTAATTATTTCATTTATTGTAAATATTAAATAAGTACGCATTTTATATGCACTTTAAGAATTATTGTAAAAACCATGAAGTGTATTATAATAATATAAATATTATTTATTTTATAACCACAATTATCAATATTGTGTTGTATTGTGCTATTGTCAATTTCCTGAAGGCGACTTCAGCTTAATGTCGAAATATTGAAAAGGAATAAAAATTAGTGTGAAATAATATAAATTGTGTTTATTAATTTTTATTCATAACAATAACTGAAATTAATTCCACAATACAACACAAAATTAAAGATATTTAATAAAAAATTATTTTAAATGTATTTTTGTTTTATAACCAAACAATTTATTAATTTGAATATATACAATAAACAATAATTTTAATTTATCTGAATTGCATATACGTTTACAAATTGTTCAGTCATCATCAACTTAAATATCATCAACAGAAAAGACCTGTTGTTGACTTTCTCTTAAGCTATGTTAAGGTAAGTGTGTGGGATATCAGTTGCACCATAACAGGGATAGAATGGTTTAACAGCCTTTGATTAGACGATTCACTGCATTTCTTAATTCTTTGTTTAATTGTAGTAACTTTGAGATCTCAATGAATTTGGTTGTTTGTGACATTTGACATATCACATATGAAGTGGATACAATCATGCTTAAGGTTTCTGACTAGGATCTTTGTAAGATTTCAATATTAGATATTCCTGCAATACCCTACATTTTAATTCCGTATATACAGACGAGTTCTAAAACAACTGAACACAGTAACAATTTACTGTAGATTGTTATTTGCAATTATCAGTTGATTAACTAGCGCAGATTTTAGAGTTTTGATGCCTACTACGTTCGATTTTAAAAATTTATATATTTTTCACTTTTATTTTCTATCAAACTGCAGGTCTATTTCAATGCCTTACATTATAGTACACTGACTTACTTAATTTTAAAGCATTGGCAAGTTTTTTGTGAAGGTTTGCTTGACAATTATTATCGGTGCCAACCTTGTTTAGTTGGATTTAATTGACCATTTTCTTTTAAACAAAAAGTAATTTTTTGTAGTCCTCTTTGGAGTTTGGAGGTAGACATATTTTACCGGTTGAGTTATAAGCACATTTATCCTACCTACTAAGCCACCGAGGCTGCTTTGAGGTAGATACATTTTGTAGTAGTAGCAATTGTCAGAATGGCTGTGGTAAGAAAGTATTTCAAATAATGGTATTTTTAGTAGTTTTTATGTCGTATGTGTAAGATAAAAAATAAATAACACAACTATCGTCCTGCGGATTCTCATATATAACACATGAATTTTATATGGTATTTAAAACAATATCCTTAAAGTTAATATATTTATTCCTAATTAAGTTAGACGAAGATACCACCCTAGATCTGCGATCTGATATTTTATTGTTACAAATTCATCACCGCGTCGTCAAAGATTATTTAATATGATAAAAACCAGCCGACCTGTTTGAATATAGCCGAAAATGAAGAAATAAAAAATCAATAATTACACATTTCACATTACAATAGCATAGCATTAAGCTACCCGCTAGCAAGCAGTATTTTATGATTGGTGTGATTGCTCTTTTACGGCCAATGTAAGTTAAAGTAATTGAGAATTATAATTGAATAATAGATTTTCACATGCTTTATGTGTATATGTGTTTTATACAAAAAAATTGAACGAATGCCGTTGGTGAATTTCGAACGAAATATATAACACTGGAGAATATCTTATAACACTCTAGATACAATACTAAAGCAGCAAGGTTACCCTCAAATTAACAGTTGTTTTATATGACTTGGCAAAAAAGGTATGATAAGATTCGGTATATGTATGTACTTATGAAATATATACATAAATGTCTACTTATACTACTACAAAAATGTTAGATTACTTTAAAAATGTTCGATTATGCAACAGGATTTAACAGACCAAGAGTAAATCCAGTTTGAATCCAGATTTACTAATCGTAAACGCGATAACAATAGGTTTTGTGTATTATTCATACGACACTTTATTATATGATTATAATAATCAATTATATTAACCCGGTAATGTGTTGTTATAGCCATATTAGTAAGTAAATACTAGCTACACTAGCTGTATGGGACTGAAGCACTTGCAGATAGGCTTACGTCAGAATAAACAGGTTGTTTTGACTATAGCAGCTTTTTGAGGCTTGTATTCGTATTCTTCTAATGCAGAATAAAACGTAAAAGTATCATACATACTATGAAAAATTTACTTTATTCTAAATGCGGTTATTTTTGTTTTTTAAATATATAAACTTTTATTTCGAAAGTTTTTTTTTTTGTGTATCTCTACACGTGTTTCGGCAAATTCGCTTTTGCCTTCATCAGGAGAATTCCTATTCTGTTCTGAAAATTTATGGAGCCGAAAACCTGAAACGTATCTCTTCTTACTTTTTTCTCTAAGTAAATTTTCTAATGTCAACACTTTTAAATTCAATTTATGCTTGCTGCAATGAATGAATGTTAATGCTAATATATTAAGTTATTACAAATATAAATACTGTTCATACACAGTTTTACGGACTCTAATGTTAACAGTAACATTTATTTAACTGTTAAGGTATGAGTTTGTGAAATTTTCAAGTTCCTTAACATAATTGTTTACTTTCTTTAATAATTGCAGTTAACTTATTACTTGTCTTACTTATGCAGTAGTTATTTCATTCAGCTGTCTGTTGAATTACTCGTATTTACATTATTTAAACACTTCTTACGATTTAATTTCAGTTTGAGGGTTTTTCTTTCATTTGTAACCTCAAACTACTATTCTTTAATCAAGTAGTTACAAATTCCTTTTTCAGTTTTTCGTATGGAGTCGACTTTAATTTATCTTTGTACAGTTTATTTGCATACAAAATAAATTAAAAATTGTTCAATTAATGGCCATTTTACTTAATAATACTCAACGTAAGTTTTGGTTGTTTTTTGTTTTTTTTTTTTGTGCCTACGTTTTTGTGTAAGCAGTAATCTATGTGCACTTAAAGCATTTCACAACAAATTTTTTAATTAATTTAATTAAATTTATGTGAAAAGCAGTGAAATTGCTTTTCGAGTCTCGCATACACAGTAAAAGCAACACACAGTTTTTACTGGAAGGATTCGATGCTGAAATGAATGAATGAAATGGACGAATGAAGGATCTGACGCGAATGCGAGTCATTAATTTTAAATCCACACTGAAACCGTAATATATATTTACATACTTACATTTCATATATTGAACAGATGCAATAAATAACAAATAATTTAAAATAAATTAATACATTATAAATCTTTTTATTTGGTTAATTAACAGAAATTTGGTACAAAGATAAATTCAATTTTTTTGTTGTTTTTGCTCTTCTTCTGTGTTAAGTAATTTTTATGTTAACATTTATCAAGTGTAAGTTGGCGTGTGTGTGTGTGCGCGTGTGTGTGTGTGCGTTGGACCATTTAATGCATTTAACTGTCATAAGTAACACTTGCATTAACAAATACATATTTATGTTTACACTCATGTACATTAATGTTAAATTGGTTTGTTGTTGTTGTTTGCATTTAATATTTTGCTTAAAGCCATTTACTGCAAATGAACTGATACAGTTAAACTCTTGCCACGATATTGTCTTATGGCAACTCGCACATTCGAATCAGTAAGGCGGTTGTTCGCTTGACTTTGCATGTGAGCCGCAAGACAACTATAACATAACACAGCTGTACAGTGCCAGCAGTGGTGTCTATATAATTTGTACAGTACAAATGAAACACTTAGACTAGTGTACCCATTCGAGTGATGTCAATATTTTTTACATTCAAAGGCGCCGGTATTAATTGCTGTACTTGCGTTGGCATTGTACTTAATGGTAGCATGCCACTAACATAGTTGCTACTGGACTGCTGTATGTAATGTTGAGGTTGTTGTTGTTGTTGCTGTTGCTGTTGCTGTTGACTGCTACTGTTGTTGCTGTTATTATTGTTGTTGTGCCTAATGGCGATTGACGTTGGTGAATTAAGAGATTTTGGGCAGAACATTTGCTTCTTAACGGTTTTAACATTATTCACATGCAGTGGTAAAATGTTCTTATCGATGAGTAACGGTGGCGGTTGCTGCTGATGCTGATGCTGCTGCTGCTGTTGCAATTGATGTTGTTGCGGTAAATGTTGTTCGGTAGTTGTGTGGGTCTGTTGTAACGTTAATACATTACTGGACATAGTCGAATAAGTATCTGTGATGCAGCCAACACTGCCATCGTTATGATTAATGCCACTAATTGGATAATTACTGTGCTGCTGTACTGTTTTTATTGTTGGCTCTTGTGGTAGATATGTTGCTGCTGCTACTGTTGCTGTTGATGTCGCCGCTATTGGCATTAAAATTGGTAGAGCAGTTCTCGTTTGTGCTGCTACTGTTGTGTCTGCTGGTTTCGCAATTAGCTTTTGTAGATTTTGCAAATCTTCCGGTGTATAAATTTCGTTTAAATTAACTTTTGGAATTTGCGTTTGAAAAGTTGCCACTGCATTCACCGTTTCTGTTACTTCTGTTTTTGTTGCCAGTTGTGGTGATACTGTATATGTTGTTGCTGTTGTCATCAATGCCTGCGTTGTTGTTGTAGAGTCATGCAAAACTTTATTTTCTTGCGTATAGCCAACCATCGAAGAAATTGTTGGCGTGTAGTGCGTTGTGACCCCAGCAGCTGTTGTTATTGTTATTGCTGCTGTTGGGGTTGTTATCTTATTGGCCATTATATTGTTAACATTATTGTGTTGCTGCTGTGGCTGCTGCTGGTGCTGCTGTCGCTGTTGTGGTTGCGTTAGTTTGTTTGCTTCGAAACTATTTGCATTGCACGTAACAGGCGAGCAATTTGCTTTAATATCACAGCTACTAACAGCGTCTTTAATTTCAGTTATTTCATCTAAGTCTTCACCGACTTTGTTGGCTGCAGTGAGCAAAGCAAATCCTATTGGTTGTGCATTCATTGTTGTTGTTGTTGTTGTTGTTGCTGTTGTGGTTGCATCAAATTCTTCATTTAACTTTTCTAGTATAGTAAGTTTCTGTTTAAGTTGTTCATCCGTTGTCATCAGATTATCCTCCACTTTACTTATGTCACAGCATTGAAGTGCGATCTCAGTGTCGAGTTTGTCAATTTGTTGAAGTACCTCGTTTTTGGTTTGATATGCACGCTTCACCTGATGTTTACGTATTTTGGCATGTAGCTTCACCAGAATTTCCTCTTCCCGTTGCAGTTGCTTATTAATCGCATATACCTTTTCCAGCCATAATATTTGCAATTCGATTTCCTTCGGATTTCCGTTGGCTGTGCTGTCGTTGGGTGTGGGCGGTAAGTTCACTTCATCATTATAGGTTTCTTCAGTTGAGATGCGAAAGTCTTCGTTCTTACATTGTTTGCGTTGCTTTTGTTGTTTTTGTTGTTTTATCTTCTGAGAACTTTTTGTTTTCGCTGTTGGCTGCGAGTTAACTTCTTTTGTTGTTTTTACAGTTGTTTTTGTTGTTATTTCCGTAGCTGGAAATTGATGATATGGTTCATCTGTATGCAAAATTATTAAAATTTTTAATAAAGGGAATTTGTTTTTAAAGGCAAATGTGCTACAGTTGGTGCTCAATGACTTAATCGGGTCACATATGCTTGCTTCAAAATAAATTGGTAAAAACGTTTTATTAGAGTCAGAGTCAAAGTAAAGACACAGGAAAGGGAGGAGGAAACCATTCAGGAAAACAGGAAGTTCAATAGGAAGGAAGCTACATGGGTAGCAATGACTGTATGAACATAAAATACTTAAGCAAGTTATAAAATTTTAAAGCTAAAGTTAAGGGTCAATCTGTTTCCTTAACAAAGTCAATTTGACTGCTATTTTATTTGTCTGTCTGTTTGTCTGCTATGGTTCTGGTATGGTTTAAGGATCCATACGTGCGGAACGATATTTTTGTTTAAAAATTTAAGGTAAGAGAGCAGTTTTAAATTAAATTTCATGCATTTTCTACCTTTTATTTCATGCATTTTTTTTGACTTGACAAAAAACTGAGCAACTTAATGGGAGTTTTTTTTTTATTTTTTATTAAACTTACATTAAATATATTTATTTAAAATGAAGTAACTGATGCACTTGTTTAAAAATTTAAGACTAGAGAGCAGTTAAAATTAAATTTCATGCATTTCTTCTCTTTTTCCATAGAAAATTTTTCGGTTTAGGGAGAACGTGGGAATTTAAAAGGATTTTTTTGTTTAATTTTTTATAGTGATTATGTTTGAAATATATTTAAACATAACTAAAATTTTTGTTTAAGTTTGTTTAAGCAGTTAAAATTAAATTTTATGCATTTTTTACCCAAGGATAGAGGTAGGAATACCCTTTCTTCTTTTTTCGCTTTAAGGAGACAAGGGAAATTTAAATAGTTTGTATTTATTTGTATTTTTTATTAAAGTTATATTATATTACACAACTTTAATATATTTAATTTACGAATATTTTGTAATATATTTTCTTCTGAATATTCATAATGTAAAAATCCCTTCAATTAGAGTCTAAGGAGTTCAGATTTCGCTACATACTGAGTAAATTGTGAAGTATGTGGTTAAAGTTTGGAAAATTTCTACCTTTTAGTAAGTTCCTTAAGTTTGGAAATGTTTCAAAATGTCGAAAGTTTAAGCATACTTTTTTTATATAAAATATTTATATGTGAGTGTGTCTTCAATTTGGTGGTTCTTTCGAGTTCATTTAAGTTTTTAGTAACAACTATGAGGAAATGTGTTTAAAACATTGTAAAAGTGTGATAATATTAAGATCGCTCAAAATTGTAACTAAAGGAAAAAGCTCGAGTTTATACTTATGAAGAAGTATCAGATGGAAAAGTTTTGCAATGGCATCTTAAATTATGGTTACATTTTTATTATTATTAAGAACAACAAACAATATTGTTTTTAAAATATATATGCTTTACAAATAGTTTTCATTATTTTTAGCTTTACTACTTATTGACAATCTTATGAAGTTCAATTCATTTCAACACTTTAAGTTCAAGTTTAAACTACACAAATGGCTAGGGATCTATCTAAAGTAATATTATAAACAATTAGAGAATCTAATGAGTTTTGTAGTCAATAATTTCCATCGACACAATTTAAAATTAAAAGATATATTGAAGCTGAAAGATATTTTTTAATATCTTTAATCTTTAATATCTAATATCTTTTTTTACTGTTTTTTGTTTTAATAAATTTAGAAATGATAAATAATTAATATAAAAAAGAAAATGTATGCTATTTATATACTATTTCAGTTTTGTGTATTTCATTTAAAGAAAATTATTTCAACACAACATTCCAGTACTTTGAGTTACTACCCTTTGAAATTGGTGTATTGAAAAATAATTGAGTGGCCTTCATTTTTTGCGCAGCACTGTATATTTGTATTATATATAATATAAGTAATTGTCCTCAAATATTCTATTGTAGAATATGATGGTTGCAGAATCATTTATTAAAAATAGTTGAAATAATAATAAGTAAGTATTAATGAATCAGAATTTAACAAACTTTCTAATTCAATAAGAACTATTTAAAGTAACTTTTCGATATAGTAGCAGGATGTGTGATTCTGCTAAAAAGCCTTGAAACTAAGTTCAAAGCAAATGCTATTAGATTGAAACATAGTAGACATATAGACATTTATTGTTAAAATAAAAAAATTCATACATACTGCAACAATATGAGAATGGGACTTAATAAAAGATATCAGACTAAGAAGGTAATCCCTGCATAGAATTCAGCCCAATTAAAGGCTTTGCAGTAAAAGATGAATATGATATCATATCATCATTAAAGGAATTATAATTACTTAGTACAGAAAAAAAGAAAATACTTTTAATAAAAAAAAAAGGAGAGATGACGCGATATATCTTCTAGATGTAAATTAAGAATCCTTCACAGAGAAACTACATGACACTACAATCACAACTACCAACTACACAAACTAGATATTTCTGAGCCAAAAGAATGAAAATATTACTGTAAAGATAGGAAGACAGTGAATCATTTAGTTATTAAATTCCAAATTTTATACTATTCTAAGCAATTGGTGATTGAACAATAAAAGCTAACAAAGATGAACCTTAAAGGAATTCGGCATCAAAAACTAATTAAATTAAAATAAAATAAAATAAAATAAAATAAAATAAAATAACCTATAGATTTTAAATAGGGTGCAATAAACCCACCTGTGGCTATATTTCCTTTATTGTAAGCAATTAATGTATCATGTGGATGATCGCAGCTAAGTTGCTGTGTAAAAGGGTAGAATAAAGCCACCTGTGGTTGCAATTTCTTCCTTGTAAATAATCTATCTATTAAATGGATGATAAAAGTAAATTTATTTTGTAGTTTACTAAATTAAAAACACAAAACTTTTTTCGCTTTAAAAGCAGAATTAATCTGGTTTTTCAAAATGGATTGGTTGATAGAATTGCTGTCGATAAGGATATAATAAAAAATATCTGTTTTAAATACAGAATTTATGCAGTAAAAAAGACTAATATTTTGAAGTAATAAAAAAGTTGAGTAGTTTCAGTGTATGATGTTTGTATTCAAATTTAAGAGAATTCGTTTGAAATATTGATCCAAAATCAATTTTGAAAGACTAATATGATGGTGTAACTAAAATCATAAAAAGTGGTTGTAGAAAAATTAAAGTCTATTAAAATTTCAATTAATTACAGTAAATAATGGAGAATGTTATTAAGTAAAATAAATAATATTTGAGATTCATATTCATTCCAAAATATGTGGTTTCATTATTCGTTATTCACCACTATATAACTATGCAGAATACCAGTTTCCAAACTATAATATTTTCAAGCAATGTCACTAAGCACAAATCGCTATAGGGAGCAATCCATTATAATGGAGGTCTTCAGTTAATGTTCTCGTAAGAGTAAAGAATAACTCTTCAGGCAAAAAGAAGCGACTAGCGATATCATTGAACGAAAATCGCTGTAGATCGACCTTCGTTAAGTTGGAGGTGCTCAGTTGAGTTACGAGGTAAATAGTAAAAGCTACACACCAATTCAATTAATTAAGAATTAAAATTTCATTGTTATCATTCACTATTCCTCATTTCTATTTAAAATAGTTTAATCAACATTACTGACTACAAGTTCAAAGAAAGAACTATAGTTAAAGTTGTTGAAATATGAAACTATTTAAATATTTTATTATAACTAAGTTAACATAGCTCGCTTACAATAAATCTTGATCTTGGGAACTCATCAAAAATAATCATGTGAATTCTACATTGCAGTTCTCTGCCATGTTCTTATAATGTTCTAGCAGTTCTTGCAGTTAGGGAAACCTGCAGAAAAAGGAAACTATTAAACACTAGGAAACTCTGGTGTCCAGAAGAAATGAGTTTTTAGGGAAGTACTTTTTTGTCAACTTATTTATTTATTGTTTATCGGTAAATATGACAGACCTATGAAATTGTTTTAATTCGATGGGATAGATTCAGTCTGTATCTTTCCATTTTAAAATTTCTTGCTTGGACTGTGGTAGTAAAACGGCGAAAAATCACTGGTTGAGGTTAATGTAAAGTTATCACCTGACCTGCCACTGCAGCCAACAAGCCAACTGATTTATAAAACAATACTTTTAAAAAATTATTTAAATCAAAACTGCTATTTAAACTATACTATTATATTTTATGAAGGTCACCTAATATCTTGAGATGGTAATAAATTATAAAATGAAACTAGAAAAAATATATTTTTAGATAATAACAATATAACTTTTCTTCTATTTTCTTACGAAAAGTATTCTTGAAAAAGATATGAAAAATGTACACTCTAAAAAAAATTGCATTTAATAACAAAAGATTAATTTAAAAGTACACATAGAGCGTATTGTCTTCTCGGTGCTCTAAAGTTTGTAGTAAATTGAAATAAATTCATTTTGTAGATGTAGGGTGAAAAATTGTACTTAAATCATGTGTCTGATGCATACAATTTGAGAAGAGTAAATCTGTTTCATGTGCGATGTGCGATGTGCTCTGTGCTTTGTGCAATGTGGGATGTGAGATGTAGGATATGAGCTCGTCTTCTTTAAATAAAGATAATGTGTATTTTAAAGCATTATTCGCAACAGATACTTCCGGTGCGCACATTGTATTATTACTGTATTCTTCTGCTCGTTTTTCTTTTAATTCTACGTTTTCATATTTTACCTTTTACCGTGCTTATGCATTATTTTGTTGTGTTACTTACAACACAAAACTCCTACAATCTCTGAATCCCTTTTAAATTCATACCTCCATACGTACGGGCGCTTTCTACAAAGACATCCTTTTGTTATCCTGCATTGTATATAATATTTTGGCTTATGTGAAAATGCACAATGTGGCTTCATCTTGTAAAAAAATTTGAAAATAAACATAAAATAAAAAGACACGAAGAGATTTTCAAGGTTTATATTTCACTTACTTCTGGTTATATATGTACTTTGTATTCAGTTTAGCCTGTGGCTTCTTAATGCTTATTGTATAAGGTAACATATTTGGCAAGACATTAATATTTTGCTTAATATTTCATTGACAAAAAAGTTACATCACAACAGCATAAAGAATTGTTTTTAAAAAAAAATTATTTCAATTTTTCTTTATTTTTTTTATAAATATGAAAAGGTTTGTAAAGTTTTCCCTTTCAGTGTTATTTCTTTCAATTATTCCATTTAAATGTAAGCTCTCTAAATGGCAGTAATTTACAGTAATTTGTAAATGGAGAAGGGAGAAGGGAGGACTTATTAGCAAATCATGGCTCCATAATTAAAAGAAATGGCATAATAAATTTTAAGTTTCAAGATCATTATTATGCTAATTAGGAGAACCTAATCTAAGTAGCATTTATTAGCAGTTTAATTATTTCGTTGAAATTTATACAAATATTTTATGCATATTTAAATAAAAAAGAAATTATTTACAAATGAATAACTTTTCCCTGCCAAACCCAAACAACTAATCTCAACAACCTTTTCAACCATTAAACTTTATATATACAATATATAAAATATAAGGTTATGACTTTAATTGACATGAAACAACCTCCTTTGCTTTAATAACCATTCAAAAGCAGGAAGAAAAAATATTTAAAATATTAATAATGTATTTACATGAATAAAAGGATATTTAAAACGTCATTGCAATATCGCAACTGAACATTTCAATTATTTATGACTAATTAAAATATTTATGGGGTCACATTAAACGCAATACACTCTTTGACATTTAATTAACTAGATTAAAATATTAAAAGTTTGTTTAAAATGTCAATTATTCGAAACACGAAATACATTGTCACAAAATTGGCTTATGAACTTAAATGTTTTTTTTAAATTGCTTATTAGTCATTTGATTAAAATCACTTTGATTAATAATACTAAAGGGTCAAAAAAGGAAATGCAGCCTTGCCTCCAGACCACTACTGTATTTCTGAAAGCAGGGCATCAATCAATGTTCTCACGCCCTCACTGCGCTACTTTATTTGCATAAATTGATTGATTGGTGAACACCAATTTTGTAATTATCGGCCAACGCAGTTTTCCAAGAAACTTAAGGGAAAATATTTCATTGTGAACGAAAGGGCAAAAATTCTATAAATAAAAATTGTATTTTGCATTTACGTTTTTGGCTGATCATACAGCATATTCGAGTATTACCAAAAACCCATTCTCAGTATGCTTTTTCAGTCTATTGGAAATATGTGTTATATTTATTAATTCGTAAACAGTTTTTGCGATTATAAGTTAAACTGGTTAAACTGGTGCCCTGAAAAATTTGAAGCTTAGAGTCCAATTATCCCACTGACCTAAAGCTGTAATTGTATGTTCTAATTTGAAGGTTTGTAATTGTGAAAATTCATTAACAAATTCACTTGCTGTTTTACATTAGAATGAAATCATAAATCAGCTATAGAATAATTTTAGTAATTAATTATTGTTATTTTTAATAGTTAATTTTAGTACATATTTCTATAGAGGCATTATTTATTATACGATTTTATATTATTCTTTCTTGTGTATAGCAAGGATCTACACTTAATTTAAAGAATGTATTGCTGAATAATAATGATTTAATTATATTATTATGATTATATATAAAATTAAAATGTACATATATATATTATAATTATATAATTAAATATATAATTTAAATTTTTCTTTTAACTTTAACTGAAAAATATATAAATGAGTACTAGCAATTAAATTTAGTTTTTAAAATATATAAATAATAAATATTAAATAATTTTTATTGTTTTGGTATAAATTTTAGATTGTTAACACATAGGTACATTTTTCTATTATCATTGAGCACCAATTTAAATAAACAAAATCAAATAGGATTATAAAATTTATCTCACCTATAAAAATTTCTACTCCATCACATAAATCTGGTTCAACTTCAGCTTCATCGAGTCCATTTAAATATGTTTCAAGTAAATAATTTTTACCCAGTTCCCGTTCTCTCACACGATGTTTTTCCTCTTCGATTTTAGATATTTGTCGTTCCTTCTCTCTGAAATAAAAACATAGAACAAATTCATAAATAACTATTTCAACTGATATCAACTGTGACTGGAACAAGAACTCGGAAAAGGTGTTGCTTACCTTAACAGTGACAACTGACGATGTATGGTTTCATCCTGGGCAAGTATAATTTTTAGCAGACGTTCGTTTGTGTAATTGCCTCGTTGTGCTAGTTTCGGATGTAAAGTATTGCTCTGTGCCAACCAATTGGACGATTTATGTTTACGACGTCGAAAACGTGCACTTCGCGCGCTACCCACCGGACTTGCCGCTATGCCACTATCCTTATCGGTCGAAAGCAAGGAGGCGACTTGCGTTGTGATTAGAGGTGATGCAGCCAAGCGCCGCAATGTAAGTTCGCACTTAAGTGTGGAATTTGAAAAAAATTTATATGTTAAACAGAAATAAGAAATAAGAACGGAATTTGTGGTTAAAAAGTTAAAAGAAAATTGCGTGACTTGTCAAAAAATTTTATTTTTTGTTTTTATATATATATATACATATTTTTTTTTTTTGCAAACACTGCGGCGGTATAAAATGCAAGGCGAAACAAACTACCAACAAGAAGTTCAACACTCAGATGCGTGCGTGCAATTACTTAAACGGAATACAAACCAAAAACGTAAGATTTCAGTTGAATTGCTTTGCGTGACCTGCACGCGGGAACGTTCTTCGTTCTTCGTTCTTCGATTTTTTTCTTGTATTTTTTGTTGTAAAAATAAAATTGAAATGCAGCAAGAGTACAGAAAATATTGCATACAATTTTATTGAAAGGAACTGCAATGTGTATAACTAAGGGAATAACTTAAGGATATTCATGTTGCGATTACCTCTTTCCTGTCGGTTATGTCTCGAGTTGGCAGCACATCAAAAACTTTTGTACTTCCGTCCAAATATTCCTCACAGTGTCGATGTTGCTTCACAATGACGTAGTCGTTTAACGACTGGTTAACGCCTGGAGCGGCACTCATATTCATATCCTTGGCTGTTGTATTTAATGTATTCGTTGTATTTGTTGTATTTGTTGTATTTGTTTGCGTATTTTTGCTTATATCTTCTTTGGTATTTGTATTTGATTGATTGATGGGATTATTGCTGCTATTGTTACCGGCAGTATCACTATTGTTGTTGTTGTTGTTGTTGTTGTTGCTGCTGTTACTTTTACTGTTATTGTTGCTATTGTTGATATTTTTGTTAGCACTTTCATCAATTGGCTGGGCATCGCTTGCAAACATCTGTTGACCGTCTTGATAACTGAGCAACGCACATATCAAATCCGCACATGTTGTATTTGAATCAACACCAGATATCCAATGCTTTTCGCCATCAACCCAAATTGCTACATTGTCGGAAAGTGTTTCCATCGACGCAAACGAATCGGTCTCATCTTCATGGTCGGCATTATCAATATTGTCATCGTCATAGTCAACGCTAACCTTTTTATGATCGACGTCATTTTTATACTCAGCATGAACCATATTGTTGCTGTCCATGTTAGGTGGCTTAAGTTGTCGATGTCGTTGGTGTTGTTGTAGATGCTGTTGTTGTTGTTGCTGTTGATGCTGCTGTTGTTGCTGCTGTTGTATAAGTGAATGTGAATTTGGATTTGGATGTTGTGCTGGAGGTTTTGTTGTATTAGTGGCATTAGTAGCATCATGTTCCATATACAATATGCCATTAATGTAACCAAGAGCTGCTGATGCTGTCGCTGTGGTAGTCGCATTGGATATATTTGTTGTTGGCGGTAATTGATTTGAGCACAAGCCCATGGTTGTTGCTCCTACTCCGGTTGCACCTATTGTCGTTGCTGTTGTGCTGGATAATGTGTGAACGGGCGTTGGTATATAGTGTGAACTGTAATATAATAAATAAATGCATTAGTTATGTGCGGTTACTACATATTTATTTGAGCACATTTATTTAAAAACATCATATTTTACTCTACCACAGTATTTATAAGCACATAAACAAATATCGGTGAAAATAATGAGACCAGCAGATGGATTTATACTATTTTGGAAAAATGTTCAATTTTTGCAACAAAGGACTATTTTGCTTATATGGAATTTATATACTATGAACCTTGTCGCATTGGTCACCGAACTTATATTTATTATGAGTAATCAATTAGACTCAGTGGGTTGCATTGAAAATTATAATAATTTTTTTAATGTTGTCTATTTACAGAGCAGTAATAAAAGTAAATTATTATGAAGAATAAATTTGAAATATGATATAAAATTAGCTAAATTATTATTAGCATTAATTTTCGTCGTACAGATATAAAAATAAAATTTTTTTTGTGACTGGCTCAGACACAATTTCAACAGAAGCTCAAAATAATTATATCCTAATCTTACAAAGAACGAAAAGCGACCAAACTGAGGATTAGGAATTTTTTGTCAAAGTTTAGTTTATGTTACTAAACATGTTGAAAGATTATTAAGAATGGTTGTTCTACAACAAAAAATACTGGATTTCCCAAGAATAATTATATCAGTATAAATATAGTGAAAATTACAAATGACTTTCAGTGAATCCTTTATGTCAATAAAACTTAATAGCAGATTTACTGAAAATACTTACGAGAAATAATAAATATCTTGCTAAAGCCTCTAGCATATAAAACAGCTATGCTAGTCAGTTTTCTAAGAGACTATTATTAAACAATCTTAATCGAAAGAAATATGAATAGGTTATAAAACCTATAATAAGTGACTTTACTATGTTCGAGAATTAAACTAATATTAAACTAAGATTAAACTAATATTATAACGATATTGGTTACTCTTTACATGTAGAAAGTAACATTTCTTGGACAGCCTCTTAAAGATCATTCTGAGTGGAGTATAAGTAAAAAAGGTTTTTTATTCCAATATATATATATATTGTTTTTTTATTAATAATATAATATTGCATATTCTTAAAGATCATTTGCATGAAAAAGAGTGCATTAGAAAAAGTTCCAATAATAGTCAAAGTATGGTAAGATGATAAATAATATTTGAAAAAAAAATTTAAAAAATGTATGAGAATGTTATAGTTCCCCATTAAGAAATTGTAATATGAATTTCTTATTACTAAATTATGAAAATCTAAGTAGGGGGTAGAAAAATTTAATATAATAATTTGCTTTTGCTCATTATTTCTAGATAAACTTTAACACGCTTTTTTTTTAAATTTTAACTTGTAATATTAAATATTGGAAACTGAAATCTGTGATAAAACCTTTTGAGATAAAAATAGTTTATGTTGTTGACATGACTGTGTAATGCTAAAGATAATTGAAAAGATTGAGTTAATCATAGAACAGTAAAAAGGAAAATATAACAACAACATAAAAAACAATTTTATTAATAATTTGATGTTGAAATTAAGGCGGAGATTTGCAATTTGAGTGTACAGCCTAATATAATCGTGCGTTAAACTCGAATAAAAGCACGTACTTATATACCACAGCACTACCCACACATAAAGGAAAAACATTTTAAAATAGATTGAGGCAAATGTTTGATCACACCTCATATAAAACATTTGGTTACGAACTCATGCCGTGAGAATAGACGAAAATCTTTTAAACAGATACTAAAAGCGATTCCTATTATTGAAATTGTGACATAGTATATATTGCTATTTTAAATAAATTTACATGTTTACAACTTCAACTAAAACAGCCTAAAAAAATAATTAATGTGTATGTGTTTACCGGCGGTCCGTCCTCATAAGCACCTTAAGGCTATAACCTCGTTTATCAAATGATCACGTGTCAAGCAGATGTGTATCACAATCGCAAAATATTGTAGAAATGTTTCTAGCTTTTTTCTCACACTGACGACATTGACATCATTTGACGTAGCAAGCGTGATGTTAGAACTGTCTTTGGTGTTATCGAAAAGCAATCTGAGAAAATGGGCTTACTGGTGAATGAGGTCAAAATAAAATATATATCTCCTACTTGTAGAATTAAGCATAGCTTAAACGACAAGCTGGTAGCTGATGACTATACTTTCAAGTTTGTCAAAGATGTTTTATCTATATTGGCACCGTCGTAACATGCAATAACGATGTCAGCCTGGAAATCACATAAAAATCATCACGTTAATGAGCCCTACTATGGGCTCAGCAAGCATTTGGAATGTAAAGCTCTCACGACTGATAAAATTTAGGTTCAATAGGTCGCTCATCCTACCTGTGCATCTATATGCCACTGAAATATAAAAGCTATCATAGAATGTTGACACTGCACTGGAATTTTCCAAGAGAAATGTTATTTGTAAGGTCTTTGATTCACTATGAGTTCACGACGAATACCTCATCCGAATAAACCACAAGCTGTAAGGGGGTTTTTACGACATTGATACAATTCAACGAAATAACATCTGGTGGTTTCGCTGGATTGGTCATGCCGTGAGAACCAATGGTAATGGCATTTGAAAGAAGGAGACATAGAAATAGACCATATTTTCGGTGTAGTGATCAAGTTGTGGAAGCACTAACTGCACTTAAAGTACAAAATTGGAGAAGAATTCAAATTATTAAATCCATTTATTTCTTGGTTTCTAAAATACAATTTGTCGGGGAACCGTATTAAGTCACTGTGTGTGTTTGCTTTTCTCCTTAATACTCACGTTAAACAACAAGGCTTCAAACAGGATTCATATAAATACATAAAGACCGCTAGATGCAAGTGTGAATGTAAGTAAATATCAAGTTCATTACAAAGAATTGTAATTTAAGTGTGTTTTGTAATATTAAATTTTATTCATTATTAATTAACATAAAAATAGACTACATTTAAATTAGCTTTGACAAATTTGATTTATTTTATTTCAAAGTCATATTTCACAAAATTTTGTTAAGAATTTTATACTTTCACACATTGACACATTTTTAATAGTCACTAATATTTAATATTAGTTTAATAAAATTGTTATTATGAGATTTTAAGAATTTTACATCTAATATAAAATTGTTATTATAAAACTAACATAATTATATAGTAACATAAGTGAGCATCAGATACTATTTATATGTTAAGTATAAAAATAAAGCATTCCGTCTATGATATCGAACGAATATCACATTAATGTTGTAGTAAAAGTGCATTAATGTTCGTATTCTACTTAAACAACTATAAATTGTTTTTTTTGTTGTAATCTATAATTTGTAGTCACTGGCAGTTGCAGTTGCAGTGGCAGTGGCAGCAAATAAAGTATATAAAATTTTAAGTTTTGTTTGAACAATTTAAAAATTTCTAAACTTTTTATATTGTTCTTCTATTTAATTTATTAAAATATTTTCATAAAAACTTTTACAAAATAACAGAATCTTATTAAAAACTTCAACGTGCACACTTTTCAGTAGGAAGTACTTTAGCTCAACAGCTGAAGACTCTTAAGGAAATGCAAAATTAATATTCTTATAAAATATTGAAGACTTTATTTCAATAAAATTGCTATGCAAAATAAGTGAACTGAGTATAAATTACTCGAACAATACAAAATATAGTTAACTACAAATCTGTGCATATAACAGAACTCTCATTTCCCACATTAAACAACTTCATTACATTTTCAATTCATTTCTAAACCAAATATTTGTAGATACTTCAGTATGCATCAGTGAAACCACTGCAATATCACTGCAATAACAGCCAGCCAGCAATTTATGAAGTTCGCTATTAAAAAGCTATTTACGAACCGAAACTATTAATGCGTCAATAAAACAAAGGAATATAAACAACGCTTAACGCTAAAAGTGGAACATGTGCCATACGCCATCCTAAGATTGTTTAAGAAAATTAATATACTCTAATAGAAATATGTATATATGTATATATATATTTATATTGTATATATTACAGCATTTGGTTTGTAAGTCTATATTCGTGGCATAATAAAACAATTATAAGGTAAAACCTCCTTGTTAACACAATTGAACTCGAAAAGGCGGAGGTGGAACCACTTCTTGTGCATGCATAATGCGAATATTGCAGAAAATATTGCGGTTCTTCGTAAACGTTTATATTAGTAAGCGAGTACATGTATACAAACTTATATATACATATGTATGTATATATAAGAGAATGTTGGAATATGTTTTCATCGAGAATATAATAACCTTGGTATTCCGTAGTAGTATTCCGCATTAAATGTAATTTGAACCAACATTTTGCTATCTTTAAAAGCTCTTTAGTTCGGTAACAGAAGCTGCAATTATGCAGCAGCAACAACTGCACAAATATAAAGGAAACTTCTTGAGTTGAAGACATTAAAAATACTCGTACACTTGGAAAAATTTCGTAAAATTTTATAAGCTCGCCTCACAAGCTATTAGTATTCTATTAGTTTCAGTTTATTGTTGTAAATATTTATGGTTAAAGACATCCTGTTGTAACACTTAAGTAGCTATTTATGTAAATAGATAAATAATGCTTTTAGCTAATTAGTGATTTAGTTAAATTTTACTTAGCTGAAATTGAGGTACTTAACAGAAAATGAAACTAAGCAATAAAAGGTTTTGGAAATACGGAAAAGATACTTGATTACACAGATATGTGATTATGTTGAAGAAAAAGCTAATACATAAAATGTAGGGAAGTGTGATTTCAATAATTAAGAAATAACATATATATCTTAACAACGTTTATATATTTAAAAATAAAAGCAGTCATATTACTAATCTTGTAAAGTTAAGTTTTTATTTATTTCTTCGTTCACACGAAGCAACTATTACTCGTATTAAATAATTTATTGAGAATAGGAATGAATGTCTTATCTCAAATAATAAAGTTTCTGTATTACCATATCTTATTAACAAAATGGGTAAAGTAACATAATTTGTTTGGATAAGTA